GTAGGTGCCTTTTACATTAGCATGTGACAAGCTGAATTCTTTGAGCTTACCCTGTTGTGTGTGGCTCATCGTCTTCCCTCCTGCTCCCCAGCCACCAGCATCTCCGATTTTGATTCTAAAAACTCTTTGGGGGTTACTAATTCATGGACTGGGTTTTTTTCTCTTACACAGCTTTGGACACCAGGAATGACTGTGGCTGGAAGCTCATTTGGACACCTATATGTTGGGGTGAATTTTGGCCAGAAGAGATTTGCACTCACCCGCTGTGGTACTTCTGCATTGTCTCTCTTCCTCTTAGTGCCACAAGGTAAAGGTCAGGCTTATGGGTGCCACATGCTGGTGACGACTGGGTCTGGGTGTCACTCAGGGTGTCTATGACACAGGTAACATCCCCTTCACACTGGTTTCAGTGGAAGGTGCTTAATCCCTGCAAGCCTTTAGGTCTCATTTCTCCATCTCTAAGCACACCTTGACCAGACAGGGCTGTGAGATGGCAGCATCTCTTTCCCAAGTCTCTTACCCCAGCACAAGATGAGACCGAATTCAGCATCTCATGAGTCACGTCACTTCCAAGGGAATCTCTTTTTTCCCTGATTCAAGTTGACTGGACAGGCTCCCTGCACAGGGCACTGACACACTGCAGCAGATGCAGTCATTAGTCAGCTCTGTTACTCCAGCAGATCTGACAGAGCCGGGGTTATTTCAACACTGCAAGGTTTTATTTTTAAAATTTATTTTAAAAATTAATTAACTTTTTTTTATAGGCAGGGTATTACAACAAGTGAAGTGATATGCTCCACGATCCTTTTTGTAATGCACGTGTTCTTGCTTTGACCCTCTGAGGTTTCTGGTGAGCTTATTTATCACTGGTATAATTGTTAACTCCTATAACATTTATGTTATGACAGTAAAGGGCAGTCAGGGAGGGTCGGAATGCAGCTGCTCAGGGAGAGCGGATGTAGCAATGTCCCCACACCCCGACACTTCAACAGACATGGGTTACCTTTCCTCCTCTGTCCTTCTGACCAGGTGATCTTGGCAAGATTATTTAACTTATCTTTGCTTATCATTGTGCAATGAGCCTTATGATGGTGAACTCCTACATGAAGCAGTTTTGGAGTCTCCTGAAGGAAAAATATAATGAGGGAAGTGAGACATCATTATTATTTAGTGTAGGCAAGCCATATGGTGAAAAGGTGTATGATGTCCTTGGCCCAGATGGTCAAGAAGGCCAACGGCACCCTGGCTTGTATCAGAAATACTGTGGCCAGCAGGAGTTAGGGAAGTGATTGTGCTCCTGTACTTGGCACTGGTGAGGCTGCACCTCGGATCCTGTGTTCAGTTTTGGGCCACTCACTCTAAGAAGGACATTGAGGGGCTGAAGCGTGTACAGAGAAGGTCAATGAAGGTGGTGAAAGGTCTGAAGCACGAGAATTGTAAGGAGTGGCTGAAGGAACAGGGGTTGTTTAGTTTAGAGAAGAGGAGACTGAGGGGAGACCTTATTGTTCTCTACAGCTCCCAGAAAGGAGTGAGTAGAGGTGGGTGTTGGTCTCTTCTTCCATGTAACCAATGATGGGACAAGAGGAAATAGCCTCAAGTTCTGCCATGGGAGGTTTAGATTGGATATTGGGAAAAAAATTATTTACTGAAAGAGTGGTCAAACACTGGAAGGGGCTGCCCAGGAAGGTGGTGGAGTCCCAGTCCTTAGAAGTGTTCAAAAAGTGCATGGTTGTGGCACTTCAGGACATGGTTTAGTGGGCATAGGGTGTTGGGTTGATGGTTGAACTTGATGATCTTTAGAGGTCTCTTCCAACCTTAATGATTCTGTGATTCTATGTTTTGGATTGGATTCATCTCTGGATGCCTAAATGTAGTTGTCTATAAGTGAAATAGATACCTAGGGTTGCACTGTAGTTAGTGAAGGTGGATTAACACAGTTAATAGAGTCCAGAGAGCTGTTATCTTTTCAGTTGTCTGTTTTAGGATGGGTTGAATCACTCCCCAGACTGCACCGATTGTACTTACTAATTCTCCACTGACTGTGATGAGGGCTTAAGTATCACATTTACATTGAGCCGCTAACGTTGCAGAGATCTAAACCTAATTTGGAGACCAATCTTCACCCTGTCCCTCTCAGCTTTGCCTTTGCCCATTGCATTTTACTTGTGCACTTATGGTCAAGGATTCAGTTCCTTCCTGATAACAGTGCTATCTTCTCATTTGGGTTTCTAGTTCTCAATTGGGTTGTTGCTCATTGCTGTTTGCTGGTTGGACCTCCTTGGAGGTCTGTCTCCCCTCTGCCCTCAGACAGTGGCCATGCAGGCGTCCTCTGAGGGACATTAGACTGTGCAGAAGATCCCCTCTGCAGAAGACCCCTGGGTGTAGAGAATGGCGTGCTGGTCGGGCTCTCCTTGGAGGTTCCTCACTGTAACCAGTTCTTGCAATGTTCTTTTCTGGGAACTGAGCACTGACCCATTATGACCTGGACAGAGATCTTAAATTTAGCTCCTTAAGCCATTAATAAATCAGCCTATGTACAACTGAATTTGTCTCGTGATGGGGGAGTGGAAGATTTCTAAAGTGATTTAATGAACCAGTTTTTGTCTGGTATCAGCTAACTTGTGCTGAAGGGGTGGGTGCATTTTTTAATCCTTCCCCCCCCCCCCCCCCCTATAAAAAAAC